GTTATTTGCTCAGTTTTGCTTTTATCTAATTTAGTAAAGTATATGTTATCGGTCATGTGACAAGTAGCTCCTGAGCCAATTGACCAGTTTGAGTTTTGAAATTTTCTTTCTCTGGTGACTTTGAACGTGTAATTCTCAGTCTTCTCAAGATTCTTATTTTTGTTTTCATCTTCATGTTTATCCTCGTTTACAGCAACTTTCGTTTTTTGTTTATTTCCATAATTTTCTTTATTCGCTTGCTTTTCATTCTTGAAAAATGAGTTACTTTCGTTTTTGTCTTTTTCTTTGTAGTAATTTAAGAATCCTTTTCTAAGTCCTTTTCTAAGTTCCTAAGTTTTTGCAATTATTGCATTGTCGTTGATTGAAATGCTTGAATTTTGTGCTAAAATTCGTTTTGAAGGCAGTTGTTTCTTCTGTTCGCATGCCTTCTTTTCTTCTCGGGCATTCGTCGATGAGTTTCGTTTTTGCGTATTCCAATGTTAGTTCTTCTGGGCGTGCTTCTAAAGCTGTAATAAGATTTTCGTAGCTTTTTGGTAAGCCGCTTAATATTGCAGCGTGACTCTCCTTTTTTTTTTCCACCGATTCCGTGCAGTTCGTCTACGATTTCAAGCATTTTTTTATGTGTTCTTCGAGTTTGTGTTCATTTTCTGCTTTTAACGTATACAGTTTTCTGAGAAGGTAAAGTTTACTGGAAAGATTCTTTCCTTCATGTGTTTTCTTTAATTCGTTCCATATTTCTTTAGCTGTTATTTTATTTCTTATGTGTGCGATTTGGTTGTCTTCTACAAGTAAACTAATGGTAGCTTGTGCATCTCTTTTGTCCATTTGGCGTTTATTTCTTTTGGTATGTTATGTGCGATTAAATCCCATAAATTTTCCTCTTTCAAGATCATTTCAAGTTTGTATTTCCATATTTGTTAGTTGTTATTAATTTCATGATTGAATATTTATTTTTGCAGCTAGTAGCCATTTCTGCTTTTAGAATGCGCAGTACACAACTATGTAGTTTTGTTTCGCTTTTGAAGACAGGCTTGGCTTTTTCTTTTTTTGGATTATCCAGCAGTAATTTATGGTAGAGTATCTTTTCTGTTTGTATTTTTATTCGTGATAGCTTATCTCAATATATTTTATGTGTTTAGTTGAAGTAAACATGCGCTCAGTCTCATAATCTAATACTGAAGGTATGCGTGGTTCATTTGTTTACTGTTGCAACTTTGCCAATTCGAGATGAGCAGATGACTAAAACAGAATTAAGGCTCTTACCGTGATAAAGTGTAATCCAAGCTGCGGATGTAGAGAAGGAATATTGGTTGGTTATTTAGATGATGTTGATGGTTATCGGGTATGGTTAAGAGGTACAAGAGAAGTAAAAAAGAACTAGAGAAGTAGTGTTTACTCCTGAAGTTGTTTCATCATCCACTGTTGTTACATCAATTCTTGAAAAGCCTATCAATGTACAACCTTACTTATCAGACACCAATGAAGAGGAAAATAATCCAGAACCAGTTAATGAGGACATACAATCAGGAAGACAGCTGAGAAATCGACAAAACCTAAAAGCACCTGAAAGATTGAACGAGTGTTGTTTTGTGGAGTATGTGGAACCAGAGAATTATTTTTAAGCTGTAAATTCGAATAATGCCTTAGAATGGCAGGCTGCAATGGATGAAGAGCTGAAATCTTTACAGAAAATAAAACATGGTACTTAACTGATCTTTAGAGGGTAGACAAGCTATTTCAAATAAATTGGTTTACAAAGTGAAACATCATGCAAATGGAGATATCAACAAATTTATAGCTCGGTTGGTGGTTAAATGTTTTTCCCAAAAGGCAGGTATTGATTACTGTGAAACGTTTAGTCCTGTGGTACGTTTTGAAACCATTTGTTCTGTGATTAGTGTTGCTACTAATGAAATTCTAGATCTGATACAATTTGATCTGAAAACTGCATTTCTGTATGGAACATTGAATGAAGAGATTTATATGCTTCAACCTGAAGGTTATGATGACAAGTCAGGCAGTATAAGTAGATTGGTAAAAAGTCTGTATGGGCTTAAGCAGTCTTCTCGTTGTTGGAATAGAAAATTCAAAATTTTCTTGTCACGTTATGGTCTGAATTAGAGCAAGGCTGATCTGATCCATGTTTGTTTTGCAGTATAGATGAAGAACAAAAGTTGTTGCTAGCATTATTTGTTGATGATGGGCTTGTTGCCACCAGGTCTGTGGAGTCGGTAGGGAAAATGACACACTCCGACTTCTGGAATTTTAAAGACCCCAACTCCGACTCCCTCATATTCATATATATATATATATATGTGTAGACATATACACGTGGGTTACAGCTTATTTCTGTAATATAAAAGAAATAATAGATGTTATAGGGGAAAAAAAACTAATGGCATATCAAATTATATTAATCAGCATTTATTATGAAATGAAGAAACTGGCGTTAGTTATTTCTAAGAAACAGTACAGCTTCAGCAAGATTTTATTTGTTTGAGGGCCGTAGATCTGATTTGATAAACTTGAGAGCTGAGAAGAGTCTTTCCACACTGTGAGTAGGAGGAAGAGCTGTTACTGTTAGGGCTATTTCTTTTAACTTTTCAGGATGTATTTTTATAAGTTCTAAAAAGAGGTGTCAAGTGCAGTCATATTTCTCTATTTCTTCAAAGACTGTGTAGAAATCTTGTTTGTATTTTTTCATTTTTATGTCTAAAGGCTCTTGGTTTCTTTATTTTCATTCGCTTTGCCTTAGCCTTTTCAGTATTCTCCAAAAATATTTCTCAAAATCTAATTGTTCACTGGAAGTGGATGATAGAGACTCAGATGCAGTGTCTGCAGTTTGACTGTCCTGATTCAAATTCTCCAATTGTTCTGAGAATAATTTCATTCTTAATGAAAGTTCATAGATGGCTTTCTTTGCCTTTTTAATTTGTTCGTCATCCAAGAAAATTCGGTGTTTCAGATTTACATATATTGAACCCAGCAAGATCTCATTGTCTAGAAAACTAGTTTCTTGTTTCTTCATTGAAGAAATGATTCTTTCTGCAATAAACCCTCCATTTCAGAAAAAACAAAACATCCCATACTTTCCAATTCTGCAAGATCATTCCACAATCTTTCTGTTAGTGAAACATTAGGGTTATCTACATCTTCTAAAAAGGTTAATTCTAAAAACCTCTTAATCATCAAATATGACTTCCTTTTCGCGTTGCTTGATCAATAAAAGCTGCTTTTCCTGCTCACTTCCTAAGAATGGCATCAATTTTGGGAGTTCTTGCTGCTATTGCTGCTTACCTAAATTTACCAGTGATATCTGTAACTAAATGAAGTAAGTGAATCAGTTTAATCACTAATGACAAATATTGCATCCATCCTCCTCCCTTATATTTATTTAGTAATATGCCAATAAAATAAAAAGTACTATTTATTAATGTATATAGTTCATAAATAAAAATAATAACTCAGCTTGTCATTAATTTTTTTCAATTCTTTAATTTCATTTCAAATTCAAACTGTCCAACAAAAACTGGGGTCAGAGTCGACCTGTTTTTAGTGACTCCAGCTCTGACTCATTTTACCCCAAAATCTGCCCGATTCTGACTCCACAGCCCTGGTTGCCACTACACATAAGTTTAAAGTCAATTTCTTTGAAGAATTGCAAAGAGAATTTTAAGTAACTTATAAAGATGCTGAATTTTGAGTCTTGAGATAAAAAGGTTAAGTAATGGTGATATATTTATTGGCCAATCGAATTATACCCCCAAAGTTTTAAAGAAGTTTAATATGTGGGATGCAAATCCTGTCTCTACACCTGTTGAGAAGTGTCAGCTTTGCAGGAGAAGATGATGACGATTGGCTAAACTGCGAGAAAATTCCTTACATAGAAGCTGTTGGTAGTCTGATATACTTGGCTGTGGCTACTCGACCAGACATTACTTTTGCAATATCATTTTGTTCACAATTTTTGGAAAAAGCTGATCACAGACACTGGTCAATGATTAAGAGAGTCTGATAATATGTTAAAGGAGCAATTAATTTTGGAATATTGTTCCAAAGAGCCTACAAACCTGGAATTCTGGAAGCATGTTGTGACGCTGATTATGCGAATGAACCTAGTACTCAAAAGTCAGTGTCTGGCTTGGTATTTAAATACAGGGGTGGAGCTATCAGTTGGACAAGCCAACACAAACAGTGTGTTTCTTTAAAGGCCACTGAAGGTGAGGCTACCGAAGATGTAATATGGCTGAAGTGTTTATTTGAAGACATAGCTCCTCTGAAAGTAATCCCATCAGTACAGGTTGACAATGCAAGTGCTGTTTGCCTGACTAAAAACTCATAATATCATCGAAGAACTAAACACATAGATGTTAGGTATCACTTTGTGCGTGATAACGTTTTAAATGGCGACTTCTATGTTGATTATATCTCTGGTAATAAACAGCTTGCTGACATTTTCACAAAACCATTGCCAAGAAAGTGTTTTGAAAGCTTTCTGCTCTTAGTATTCACAATACTAAGAGCAGCTTAGAGCTGCTCTTAGTATTGTGAACATTACTTTATAAACTGAGTTCAAGGGGAAGTGTTCTAATGAACTCAAAAATTTATTTAATGCTTTTGTTTGCATGTGCAATGTCTAATTTGTTTGTATAATTCTATTGGCAACATCCTACTGTAGTTTAGAAACACTGTTCTAAAGATAATTAAATGTAATGTTACCGCTTGTTCTTTTCTTCACACTCTGTGAAGGTAATAAATGCTTTCCTGGTTGTTTAATGTTAAACAAATAAAATTTTATGTAGCTCTGCATCACTTATTTAACAATACTTTAAGTAATATTTATTAACTTATAAGTAATTTCAAGTGTTTGGCTCAGATTGATTTTATTATTTAATCTCACTATGTGCTATTTTACATGTTCTACATTTGAAAATTTATATATATTAAGTGAAATCAATTAATTTACTCTGAAATATTCTATTACTTGTTTTGCTTTGTAGAAGTATCCTTGTCTTCCCACCTTTTATAAGTCGAAAGAGGTATTTGGCCCATAAAATTGTGGACTCCTTTTTCTTTCCATTTTTATGTAGTTTTTCTGTTGGGCGAGAAAATAAAAGAAGTGTAGTCATTGGATCAACAGATCTCCTAACAAGGTTTGTTTATTAAGTTTTGCTTTATAACATTTGTGTATATTATTAAAAATATGTGTCAAGGCATTCTTAAAGATGTACATGAAATTAATTCTTACATCTGTTTGCTATAAGATTTTACCTATTTTGGGGACTATGATTAATATGATTAATATTCTCGCATGTTGATGTATTTCTAATGTTTTATAAAATACCAGGATACCGATAATCTGTGACCATGAATCCATAAACGCCTGCAATCTCTGTGCATTTTTGGATGTAAACAAACAAAATTTTGATTATCAGAAAGTAGCGTAGCGGCAATTTTGTAAACTGTATCTGCAGAACTTTTTGATGAAAATATACAGTCAAAAGTCATTAATCCGGACTCGTCGAGACTTCGGTGACTCTGGATTATCGATTTTTCCGGTTTATAGATAATCAGTTTAAATCTGGTAAGATGGCATGCAGAAATTATAAAATTAAAATATGAAACTGTAATTTATGAAATAAAGAACAATTATGATCTAAAGGGTATCAAAATTTACAAAAAAAAAAAAGCTTAATATTTATTTGTTTACTTTATTAAACATTTCTTTCAATGTAAATTGTTTAAGTTGCTTCGTTTTATGTGATAATACAGTCAAAAGTCTTTAATCCGGACTCGTCGGGACTTCGACGATTCCGAATTATCGATTTTTCCGGATTATAGATCATAAGTTTAAATCTGGTAAGATGGCATGCAGAAATTATAAAATTAAAAATATGAAAGCGTAATTTATAAAATAATGAGCAATTATGATCTAAAGGGTATCAAAATTTACAAAAAAATAAGCTTAATATTTATTTGTTTACTTTATTAACATTTCTTTAAACGCGCGTATGCATACCCTACGCATAGCCGGAATTACAAAATTGCAACCAGAAAACTATTTGATTTGTATTCGTGATATTTATAATGACGAGAAATTTGATTTAAATCATATCAAAGACGGAGTACATCGAGATTAAATACTACATTTAATAAGGAATTATAAGCCGAATAAAATAAAAACATCTGCCCTAAAGATAACGATAGTGCTGACAGATCAACTTCCAGTTCATAGCGCGCCGCGACGCGACGTCTCCCCCCCCCGCGCAGAGCAGCGTGAAATTGATAAACAGATGTCGGAACGGTTAGATAAACAAAGGATATGCTTTTATCCATTTTTTATAGCAATTCGTTTTTTGTTTGATGGACATCGAAGCATACTTTCGTTTTCTAGATCCTTTGGGAGCTCCAGCATCGGAAATTCTGTTTGACATAATCGAAAGTTCAAGCTTACTTTTATAAAATTGCTCTTACAGTCTGCAAAAAATAATAAGCCGGATCCAATTCGAAGATTAAGGGACAACGCAATCATCAACATTAACTGAAATAGATAATTAGATAATTTTAGCTTATACCGTTCGTTTTTACATTAAACGCGCACGCGAAAACGTATTCTGCGCTTGCGCAGACACATATGCGCAGTCGTAAATGTCTTGCGTGCACACGTAAAACGCCTATGCGCATGCGTCAACGCGGCGCATGCGCAGAAAGATTTTAGCTTTGAGGTCCGGATTATAGATCATTCCGGATTATGGGTGTCCGAATTAACGACTTTTGACTGTACTTTCTCTTTAATTCTATAAACAGACATAATTTCTTGTTCAGTTACAAAGTTCCGCTGTTCAAGTCCTATAATTGCTGTCAAGAATACAGACTAATTTGTCAATCTAAATTTTTTCGTTTTCAATAACCTCTGTGTCACTTTCTTCACTATCGGAAGCAAATTATAATGACGAGGAATTTGATGTAAATCATATCAAAGACGGAGTACATCAAGATGAAATACTATATTTAGTAAGGAACTATAAGCCAAATAAAATAAAAAACATCTGCCCTGAAGATAAGGATAGTGTTGACAGATCAACTTCCAATTCATTGTGTCCCCCCCCCCAGCCACAAAGCAGCGTGAAATTGATAAACAGATTTCGGAATGGTTAGAGAAACGAAGGATATGCCTTTATCCATTTTTTTGCAGCATTTCCACTTTTTGTATGATGGACGTCGAAGCGTATTTTCGCTTTGTAGATTCTTTGGGAGCTCCAGCATCGGAAATTCTATTTGACATAATTGAAAGTTCAAGCTTAGTTTTATAAAATTGCTCTAACAGTCTGCAAAAAATAATAAGCTGGATCCAATTTGAAGATTAAGGAACAATGCAATTTGCAACATTAACTGAAATAGATAATTAGATAATTTTAGCTTATACCATCTGTTATACATTAAACGTATTGTGCGCATGCGCACACACATATGCGCAGCCGTAAAGGTCTTACGCACATGCGTCAAAGAGACATGCGCAGAAAGTTTTTAGCTTTGATGTCCGGATTATAGATTATTCCAGATTATGGGTGTCCGAATTAATGGCTTTTGACTGTATTATGGTATCTTGGTTGAAATAAACATATTAATGGTAAAAATATATTTACAGGTTTTCCTTAGCGATAATTGGTGATTTTTGGTGGTATATGGACGTAGAGTTTGTGCAATTCTTTGACTTGTTATTTTGGCTTTGTGTAGCGGCGTGCAGAATCTTGTTTATATTTTCATTCTCTGATTTTCTTTTAAGTGAAAATAGGTCGATGTGTACATAGATACCAAGTTTGTGCAGTTCTTTGACTTGTCATTTTGGATTTGTGTAGTGGCGATTTTTGCCCCAAATCGCCACTACACTAATATTAATGCTGCAAAATCACTTTGTATGTACTAAATTTAAAATGAAAATTAAGACATGATCTGTAAAGGTTTAGTGCATTGGCTGTCATCAACATGCACACAAAAAAATTGGCTTTATTTGGTACTGTTCTGTTATTGGGGTCCGATTCAGAAATGTATGCACATGCATATGTATGTGCGTATATGTGTATATGTAAACACACATACATTTATTCTTACATATATACATGCATACATAAACACATATATCCATACATACCTGAATACATATGTATATTTCTGAATCCGGCCCCCCCCCCCCCCACCCCGACAACAGAACAGTGCCCTTAATTCTTAATTAGTGTTGATTAAAAAATCTTCAGATGTGTCCTTGTTTCTTCAAGAAATTGCATTGTTTAATAATAAAATGCTGTTAATTTTTTATACTCTAGGAAGCTTTAGCTGACATTTTTGTTATCCACATTAGCTGATAAGGTTTTGCTTTGAAACCTTTAAACATTTGCTGAAAAACATTTATTAATTTTTATTTGTAACTGGAATATTTTGTTTCTAAATAATGCAGTGGTAATGAAGATTTCATTTTGTAAAGCTTCCCTCCATATAAGGATGTTGAATAAATTCTTTCTGTATTTTCCTGAAAATTAACACTGTATTAAAAAAAAGTAAAAAAACGTGTCTGAATGTATTGTCCATCGCTAGGCCACTACTTTCTGGCAACATTTGAATTCCACATTGGAAAAATAACACGTTTTTGAGGTTATTCAAGAGTTGACACATTTTTTGACGTATTCGCAAGAATGTAAGTACTGCTCAACTAGTCCATGTTTCATTGATTGGAACAAGTGATAATTAAAAGAGGAATGTGTGATGAATCCATCGGTGGTGTAGAACATTTAAGCATTCCGAAGTAGGCTTTCACTGGGTTTGCAGTAAGCGGCTGAGCGTTGTCATGCTGCAAAATCAGTGTGTTGTGTCTCTGCTTGTATAGCAGCCATTTTTCCTTCAGTGCTTAGCTGCGACTCATCAGTTACAGTCGGTAGCAATCTTCCATTATGGTTTCATGTGGCTTGAGCAACTCTTAATAAATTACACCTAGCTGATACTACAAAATGTAGAGCAGAAGCTTGAACCATGGATTGGTCCCTCCAACGGCTGCATGATTTAATCACTGAACACTGACAGTTCCGACCTGGTTTGAATTCCAGGTGAACAGACTGGCTGCATGGGTGTTTTTCCCATGTGTAACGTATATACAAGCCAGTTTCCCTGGTGAAAGTCCTCCACGAAGACAACCATGTGTAACATATATACAAGCCAGCTTCCCTGGTGAAAGTCCTCCACGAAGACAACCTTCCCCTTAGGCAGATAGCATTAGTGTGCTTTGCCATATTCTACCAAACCAAACTTTGTCAACAATGTCAGTGCATGGCTGGGCTTACACCATGATTTTTTGCACTTAGGGTTTATTTTAATGTATCCATTTTTCATCATTAGTGACAATCCAATATAAAAAATCTTTCCTTTTCTGTTGTTCACATGTAAAAAGACACCACCCCTTAACAGCTCTCAGCTTAAACTGGTATGTTACCCTATGAAATTCTTTTTGAATCGTTCCTAATGCTTTAAAATGTTTGGAAACTGTTGTTTGATCAACTCTTAATATTTCTGGAAGTTTAGCTACGGTCTAACATGAATCTTCTTGAAATGCCTTCTGTTCTTTATCTTCAAACTTTTTCAGTCTGCCAGCGCCTTTATCTTCAACATCAAAATCATTATTTTTAAAGCATCTAAACCAATAAGCATGTTGTTTCCAACAGAGCGTGCTTACCGTAAGTTTCAACAAGAAGTTTGGGTTTTCAGCCATAGATTTTTTTTAATAAAGTAGTGCTGTAAAATTTCTCACAAATACTTTTTTGGCACAAAATCTGACATGTTTAACACTATGAAAAACAATCTGCACTTCGGCAGAATAACATGCAGTGAATTTCATGCTTGCTTATGTACTTCCATATAGACGTGTCACCATCTGTTAGAAAAACCCTCCAGTCGACCCCCAGTATTATATAAAAAGGATTGCAGCTGTCCATGTTTGTGAATAAAAATCTGTACTACACATTTCATCAGAATGTACTTTTTCTTCTAAAAAAGACTGTTTGAAATTTCCTTGCTACTGATCAGCCTATCTCTTAACAGAGCAATTTCTTCAGTCCAACCCAGCTGGTTGTGCGCAAATGCTTGGCATAGAAGCCAGATCAGAGCTATTGTACATGATAGTGTTAATTCTATGTGAAAATCTGCATTTTAGCCTCTTATCTATTTTTATTTAAAGAAACCTTGCATTTAATGACTAAAGTAACATAAAAATAAAACTCCATATTCAAATACATTTGGCTAATATAACTATAAAGAAAAGCAGCTATATAACTCATTTAATGATTTACTTAATATTAAAAAAAATTATTGACTGCCAGTCATTTTATTCAACTCTGTATGGCAAAGTGAGAAATGGGGTGGCTACATATGATACTGAAGATTCTGTCTATGTGGGTAGGATAGTTACAACTAATTACATTGCTTTCATACACATTTTGGTTACTGATGGTTCTATTGAAATTCATCATTATTACTGTCCCTTTTGTTCAATTCTAAATGAAGTTTTGTTTTTATCAGTGTTAATTATAATACTTTGTTTAAAAATATAATAATTCTATATTCAGTAGTTACTTGCATGCAAGTAATCCAAATATCATATAGAAATTAGAAGAAATATAAGTAAATTTCGGAAAAACTGGACTTGTGTCTGCAAAATTCTTTAATATGCAGAGTCCTTGGTTTTTTAGATTATCAAAATTCTATTTATAAGTATGTTTGTATAATAATGAAATACTCTAGTGTAAGAAATCATTTGAATGAACATCTAATACTTAGAATTCTGAAACTGAAAGGTTTAATTATTTTTAATATATGTATTTCAGATGTTGTATTCCTTTTGCCTGCATCCATAGAAAACTGTTTTGCATTTCTAAAGTCCAGGAATTCACCAGTTGTATATGCAGGAAACGATTAAAATCACTGATATCATCAGATTCTGCAGTTAATACTTTAATGTCTGCTACCAAACAATTTGGCAATGGTAATCTTTTAAAGAAAGGTGAACAGGATGGCTCTGCAGCTGCTGTGCCTAAGATTCAGACAAGCAGATCAGTCATAACGTAAATATATATTTTTGTGTAATGTTCAAGCAATAACCTGTAATCTAAATTAGCAATTTTTGAACAATGTGCTTTGTGGTTTTCTTGAAAGTGTGGGGCAAGTACCCCAAAATTTTCTTAATGTAAATATTTACATTATAGATATAGTAAATATATGTATTGTACAAAGTCTGAGATCTGAACTTGTTGGTAATTTCTGAGTTTCAGATTTATCTATATCAGTTTAAATCTAATAGGATTGCATGTAGAAATTATAAAATACAAAATATTAAATAATTAAGCATTTATAACTTTAAAGGAATTAAAAAAACCCTCAATGTTTATCTCTTTGCTTTATTAAATGTTGCTAATGCATTCTCTTTAATTTACTTGTTCTTTTTCAGTTTTGAATTATAATTTCTCATTCAATTTTAAAGTTCATTATTCAAGTCCTGTAATTGGCAGGTCGAGAATTCGTAGTAAATTATAAATTGAAATTTTTTCGTTCTTAAGAACCTCTTTGTCACTTTCTTCACTATAGGTAACAATTTCTGGGTTTAGAACCATACTATTTATTTCACCGTCTAATTGATGATTGGGGCCATTGTTTTGCGATGAAAAACTTCTGGTATATCATCTTCATTTATTACCATTTCTGCACAAATTACATTAACTGGAAAATTTTGCTTTTTTGTTTGTGATAGCCAAAAACCTTTTCAGATTCACAGTGATCATCATAAAACTTAGTGTCTGCTATTGTCTATATATGAAATTAATGACTAAAAATGTGTTTGGCTAAATTTTGTCTTGCTTCTATCGCATGCTGACAAAGTTAAATATGGATTATATTAATTTTATTATTTACAATACTTATGCCTATTTCTCGCACATGCTTATGTAAACCCCGAATAAATAAATTTCTTCATATAGTTTATGGCTTACTCAGGGCCAGTGCAGTCTCTCTGTATTCTAAATTCTGCTTCCAAGTCCTTTCCGAAATCCTAAAAATTTTCTCATCCATTAATTTTATTGCTTGGTGCTTCTCTAAATTCTAAAATTTTTGTCTCTAATTTCTGCCTCCCTGTGCGACTGTAACGACTCTGGTACCAGTCTTGGGCTTAGATGAATAACAAATCAGTTTTGGGCAATTCAGACAGCACAAAATGTAATCTTTTGGTGTATGAATTATCATTTACAAAATCTATTTACAAAATCCACTTGGCAGCTATTTGGATTACAAAATCTATTTACAAAATCCACTTGGCAGCTTTACTTTAAATTAAATTTGGCAATGTTAATCTTACTATCCTTTAAAGGTGAAGTTTGGTTTTAACTTTGGCTTTAAAAAACTTAAATTTAGTTTCTTTTGTTTTTATTATTATTTTGGTCTGACCCTTTTAATTAATTAATTTTAAAGTTTTCTGTTTTGTTTCACTAGTTTGGTGTGTAAATTTAATTAACTTTTTCTGTTTAATTGTTACCTTTCTTTCTGGTAAAGTTATGAATCCATATTTTCTCAGGCGGTATAATTTTGACTGATGTAATGAAGAAACTTAGTTAATAGAAATGAGTACTTTTCTGAATAATGGTGTAACTATACTATTCGACATTTGTAATGAAACCATATTAGAATTAATTGAAACTTCATGTACTAGAATTAAAATTCAGTACATAGAATTTGATTAATTGTAATGAAAGGAGTTATGTAATAGAATTAAATTTCTGCACTATTTGTTAAAAAAAAAATTTCCCCCCCAACAAGCTGATGCAACAAAAAATGTTCCTATTCCTAGAACCATTAAAGTTATTTGATCATCACTGGCAAACAGTGTCCCTCCAGGTGACTCTAGTCAAATGATTTACCATATGACCTTATTTGAATTTTCTGTATCCTTCTCAGGGTTCTTCTATATGTAAATGTATTACTGGGTGTGCTTGCGAGGGGTGGAAAGTTTGACCATTTAACGTTCTCCTGTATTAGATTGGGACCCTGCTGATGAGGCTAGTGGAAAGAATGTTTTTTGTGTCACAATTTGGTGAAGGGCTGTTTGACCTCTGAGCGACTGTTCTTTCTCATTTTTTCCAAGTTCAAGATTTCTGCTAAGTGAAGAAAAAGTCTGCGTGGGGTTTTCGAGTAGCTGAAATGGAGGCAGGCAGAGAGGGAGTGACCCACCTCCCACTAACAACGACAGACAGCCAGAACAACACATGTATAATTATGAACAGCTGAGGATGCCATACAGAATCTTTAAAGCGTTAGACCCTTCAGATGGACCGAGGAGAAGGACTGTCCAGAGTGGACAAATGATTGGAAAGCCTTGCATTGGACACTAATTAACTCTTTTATTAAATTTTACTTACTCGTTCCTTTTTTAAAAATTTTCATCGATAAGAAATTTTCCGCTAGAAACTATGTGGGATGGAAGATTTGGTTCCCCTCTGAGAAATTGTCACTTAAAACCATTTAGCCCCCTTGTGACTTGAGTTTTAATTTAGTTAATAGTAGCTTGATGTGCTTAAATATGCTGATTGACTAAAGTTTTGTTGAATGAATTAGTACTCATGTAGTTACCGGTGAATGCCAGATGAAAAAGTGCTTATAGTATTGTTAATTCTGTTACCTTACAAGTTCCTAAATTAAAATGTGGCTGAAATTATAAATAGTGCTAATTCTTTTATCTTGCCCGAAGTCAACTGGACATTTATTTGTTTTATTAAAAAACCTGATTGATTTTATTTCTGTTTTGCAGAAAAGTATAATTTAAAATGTATATAAGTTCCAGAAAGGGGCCCGCTTTTATCACATTTGGTTTTTGTTCTGTAACATAAAAGAAAAATAGAAGGTATATTCTTTATATTTTGTTAAAAAATTGATTTTGCCACCGTCGAAGTTGACGCTTCATTGCAGCTTCAATGCAGTGTATTCAATTATTGGTCTATATATACAGGGTGTTTCATAGATCATGGGACAAATGTGGAGGTGTGGTGGAGTGTACTGAAACATGCATTTTTTATAGGAATGTAGGGTCTAAAGTGACGGGTTAAGGCAGGAACGAAAAAAAAAAAAGACACAAGAGGAAAATGTGTTTATGTACAAAATCAACACAAAGTACTTCTTTATAGCAATACAGTATTCACAAATAAATGTTCAAAATTGAGACCACCAGCAGTAATACATGCTTGGTAACGTCGCAGAAGGGATTGATGAACATTTTGAAAAACGATAGGCATTTCGCACACGTTTGCAGCCGCAGTGGATAGTCGTGCAATGAGGTCCTCCAGTGAGTCAACAGGAGTTTTGTAAATGATGCTCTTCAGATGGCCTCATAAAAAAAAAATCCAAGCTGGATAAATCTGGCGAACGGGTCCACCACAGCCAATCCATTGGCCCGAAAATGTCCCATCCAAGTAATTGCAGACCTGCACGTGGTTATGGGCTGATGCACCATCATGCTGGAACCACATGCGATCATGAACAACAGTCGGAACATCCTGCAGCAATTCTGATAGCACCTCTTGCAGAAAAATATAACATAAGCCATTTGTACGTGCGGGTAAGAGATATGGGCCTATGAGTTGGTAGTTAACAATACTCGCCCACACATTCACAGAGAAGCAGGTTTGGAATGCATGTGGACGTGTGCCATGTGGATTATGAATTGCTCACATGTGCATGTTGTGGCTATTGAAGATGCCGTCCTGTGAGAAAGTTGCCTCGTCCATGAATAGCACATCCAATAGGAAATCTATCCAAGTCTGTCATTGGTTCTTGCAGCATACGCGCCGCACACTGCTGCAAGAACCAATGACAGAAATTAACTTGAAAAGGGTAATCTGTCTTTTGCAAGGCTTGGACTCTCTGCAAATGGTATGGGTGCAAACCATTTTCATGCAATACTCTCCAAACGGTGAAATGGCTCAGCTGCAGACAATGTGCAATAGCTCTTGTACTTGTCTGAGGTGATTCATGCACAATGTTCAAAATGAATTCTTCAATGCGAGGTTGTCGTGCACTTCTTTCACTCCTGGTGTCAGAGGTGGCTTCAAATGACCCGTTTTCACACAGAGACTGATGCAACCTCTCGAACATTGTGTGCTTCGGCATACACCTGTTCGGAAACTGTTCCTGGTACAACCTTAGCGCTGCTCTGCCATTCCCATTAGCAGCACCATGCATAAGATGCATGTGAGCCTTTTCCCTGTGCGTAAACTCGCCCATCACACTCGACATCAGAGTTGCGAATGATCCTCTGATACATCGGATCGTGGTTTGTCGGGCTCACTACTGCCCTCTACCGCTGCATTGCCAGCCAAACACAGCTGTTGTTCCTATTACTGTTAGTGTCTTTTTTTTTTTTTTTTTTTTTTTTTTTTTTTTTTTTTTTTTGAACATTTATTGTGAATACTGTATTGCTGCAAAGAAGCGCTTTGCGTTGATTTTGTACATGAACACATTTTCCTCTCGTGTCGTTTTTTTTTTTTTTGCATTTCTGCCTTAACTCTTCACTTTAGACCCTACATTCCTATAAAAAAAAAAAAAATGCATGTTTTAGTACGCTCCACCACCCCTCCAAGTTTGTCCCATGATCTATGAAACATCTTGTATATGATTTGTATCAGGTTCTATTTCAATCTAGGTTATCACTATATTGTCACACCATTTACACATGCCTGTTTACATACTTTGTTATAAATTGTACAGTGTTTACATTGATCATGAATCTGATTTACTTAAGTGGCACATATACAAAAGGATTTATTTATGTGTATTCATAACAGTGAAATGAAATTAAGAATCGTGTCTTGTCACGTTCTGTTATGAAAGAATATGAAATACAAATCATATGAAAGAATATCAAATACACATGCATAAAACATTCAAAAAAAATTCTGAAGAAAAAATGTTGCTGGTGTTCCGGAGATCCAGATATTAGATCATTTCACATGTTCGACATCCAGATTTCAGACCTTGTACTGCATGTGCTGCATAATTTACTAAATAGTATATATATCTATGTATG